TTGAACCGTGACAATGCAACATGTGAGCTTGACACGTTAACCACTCAGCCACATTGCGACGAGTGCTCTTGAGTCACAGGGCAGATGTCCATTTCAAGGAAGGCCAGCGCTTATCTCATATCACATTATTTGGCCGGATTGTCAATGAAGCAAACGTATTTTTGCTATACCAATCGACCACATTACTTATTTTTCATATATAAGCAGAGTTTCGAGACTACCACTTAGCGTGTCAACCTAACATGTTGCACTGTTACGGTTCGACTCCCGTTGAGGGTGTTGATAAAACCGAGGCGAGTTCGAAACTGCAGTCCACTGGTGCCTGGATGAGAACAACTTTTGCGAAATTAAGGCTATGTGGAATTTAATGGAAGCGTCAGCTCTACTCATCTCATCATTTTAAACGAAATAGCGTGAATATATATCGAAACTGTTACTAACTATAAAATACCTTGGTACCCTGACAGCCCATTAGAAATGAGGCTAGCTTGCGCGCCTATTCAGCTTTCGGTTGTTAGCATAGGGGGTTCGCGGAGAGATCATAGACAAAGTCTCGTAAGCTGACTTTCACGTGTACAGACTTACATTGAACCAGGGTTTCTTACGGACTAACGCAATCTGGATAATTAAGCCTCGATGGCACGAGGCTGTTGTTAGGCTTTTTTCTAATTACTCGGATTTATGACCTGTTTTGCGTACAGACGTTAGCATACATACACATAGACACACTAGATTATATATGAATTAACCAAACCCTTTTATATCTATCTATATCTTAAATTTTGATCATAATGAGTATATATATCATATATAAAAAGGCCAGTTAGTTTTCTTGAACTAGTGTTAACTTGAGACTTTTACAAGAATGAGTCCCAGTTCTGACGATGTCCTCACATTACGAACGAAAGATCAACCCGTCTTCACCCAAAACGTTGGAGGATGTCTCGTGAACTTATCTACCTGAAGGTCGTATTAAGGCCGAACGGCTGCAGTACAACGCGAATTAGCCAACGTTATCTGGTGAGATTGGCCTACGAATTCCTTCATTATGTATGAAATGAAATTTTTCCCATAATTCTGATTTTAGTTTCGAAGGAAAAGTTGATCGGAAGGGATTCGCGAATTGGTCTCGCTAAAACATTTGAAAGGATTTCTATAGCTCTCGTCTGTTATGTGATAGACCTGTTAAGAGCAAGAAACCACCACTCATGAAAAACGTATAAAACACAACAAGCCAAGAAAAAAGGTGATCAGCTCATTGTATTTGGTGCGGTCATTTAGTAAATGACAGTTTGTCGCTCTGATAATGTTTGTAACATGACGGAAGAAAGTTTAGCACGGATTCATCGGAGTCGCAGGACAGACTTCTCGGCGCAATCCAACGATATCTAATACAAGGCAACCACCTCATAGTTTCTGATGAGGCTAATTCACTAATCACTTTCAAGCGAAAAGAAAAGCCGGTTCATAGTAACTTTTTCGGGAATTTTTCGAAGACCAGGATCTTCGGATATTTGTCTAAGCAACAATGTTTGGCCACTCTTTGCAAAATAAACGATCGAGTTGTTTAGAGAGAAATGAGCAGAGGTCTGGAGATAAAAAGAAGATGATATAGGAGTGTAATGCCTCTATTTCGTTTAAAATGATGAAAAACTGGTAGTTAAACCTATCCACATGATGTGAGCAAGTCTCAAGTTGAAGTACCTTTTATTTGGTCTGAAGAGACGATTGGAGGGGATTCGTAAGTTAGCCGAACCGGAAGCTGTGATTGCGGATGTGTCCAAATAGGTCCTCAGGGCACCACCCTGCGACCCTGATGAATCCTTGCTGAGAGTAGACCACCCTTCATGACTTCGTGTTTTGATAAATTATCGTTAAGCATTGTGTCCTGCTTTGACGGACGAAAGCTGAGCAAATATTATTCGGAGTCAGAGGGTAGTGCGCCGAAAACCTATTCGGACAAATCTACAAACACAGCTCCAAGACAATCCCCCTACAGCTTCCGGTGAGGCCTACTCACGAATCCCTTTCACTAGCCCTTTCAAATGGGATTAAAGGTACTCTAACATCAATCTACTTAAGGATTCTTTGAAATCCATTTTTTCTACATGCCTAAGTAGGCCTCATGTTTCCATTAAATTTCATATAGACTTGCTTCACAAAAGCTATTCTTATCCAGGCTGGACTGGACTGCAGTCTCAACCCCGCCTGTACTGGCATCATCAGCACCTCCAGTGAGACTCAACCCAGGAAGTGTAGCATATAATCGCGAAACGTTAACCACTAAGCCACACTGCCACGAGTGCCCTTGGGCCACAAGGCAGGAGTGAATCTCAATTAAGCCCAAGCCTTTAACATAGCACAATTCGGTAATGTATTTTGACATGGGAAACACCTAGGCTTCCTTGAAATTCACTTCTGGCCTGTGGCCAAAAGGCAGTCGTGGCAACTTAGTGGTTACGCTGCGCTACCACAACTCGGGTTCAGGTCCCACTGGAGGTGCTGATGAGATCAGCTCAAGCGAGGTCAAAACTACATTTCACTTTAAACTTAATGGGAATAACTTTTGATAAGCAAGGATGCGAAATTAAATGGAAGCATAGGGCTAAATCATAGTATTGTGGAAAAATTTAACTACTAGTCTTTCATCACCTTAAACCAGTGATTCCCAAACTGTGCGCCGCGGCGCCCCGGGGAGCCGCGGCCTCTTTACAGGAGCGCCACGAAATATTGTAATAGTTTCAATTTGATAAAATGTTCCGTGATTCAGGCTCATCCATCACATTAATTATTAAATATTAATTTAATGTTAATAAAGTAAAAAAAATTATGAAAATACACTATTTTTATTCATTTTTATCTCTTACTTACGAATAGTCATAGTTAGGGTAGGGCGCCATGGAAAAATTCTAATTGAAAAATGGCGCCGCAACTAGGAAAAGTTTGGGAACCACTGCCTTAAACGATGTAGAGTGAAGGCAGCTCTTAAATTATATCTAATGGTAGTCTCGAAAACCTACTTAAGAAAAAACAGAAAATGAGACAGAAAATGGTGGTCTACACATTACCAAAAATCTCATATTTCCACTATCAAAATTCGTACACTTTTGTGGAGCGGAACAACAGGCAATTAGTAAGTCGGCCTACCTAGTGTAATACATAAGGTAGAGATTACACATCTCATCCTCATGTGTGGAGCCGATGCTGGTGGTTCTGCTTCGATGACTACTGTCATAGATGCAGCGCGCCAGGATTGCGTCCCCATTGCGCAGTTCCAAAGTAGGTGTCAAAGCACCAAGCTGATCGGGCCTGTAGAAGGCCTGAGGCCATTGTGGATTAGTGCGGCCCAGAAAGTGGATTCTCGCATTTGAAGACGAAGATGAGGAGTCTGAGGACGAAGTTGTAGCGTCGTATAGACCACTTAGTGAAGCGGGTCCAAAGTTTGCACGGCTACGATGAGGATAATCCTCGAGGCCAACGTCAAGTAAGTCTAAATCACGCCGCCGACCTTGCATTGACAGCGGAGGAGCAAGAAATGAGCTGGGCGAGGCGACGGTGTAGCCGACGACGGCTCGGCCAAGGCCATGAGTGTGGCCCCTCATGGCAAATACAGTAAGAGAGCCTGGTGACCGGAGCCTTGCCGTTTGGGTTTACGTTAATATATACATATATATATATATATACAAATAAATATATAAATGTGTGTGTGTGTGTGTCTGTACTGACGCATACACAAAATGGTAGAGTAAGAAGAGTAAAAACTGAAATAAGGGCTAGAATTGAAAAGAATGCCTTACGCCATTGGCTGTATTTGGAATACCCCCTGTCTTGCTAAACTTACCATCAACTATTCTTCAAGCATGTTATTTTCAAAGAAGACACTACAAGAGGCTGTTACGGCCCCATATAATAAAGCTATTTGGACCTTTCATTTCGTGAAAAGGCCTCATTGGAAACTGAAGGGAAATCATTTTGGCCTCGCGACTGATAGTTACAGCGAAAAAATCCTCAGCTCAACGTCTTTCTCTCTCGATTAATCCCAAAATAAACCGACTTGATTTGGTTCCCTATTTACTAAGTAGGCCATCCAAATAGATTAGCTAACCACCTATTTAAAACCCATTAGTAAATTTTTTCTACCATGTATTTTACTCATTAACTGAAACAAATAGTACAGATTCTGCTTGCTAAATTGCTAAACGGCAGAACGGTCGGCCATATACCTAACCGATAATTTAGAAACTAAGCATTATAATTTACTTAGGACAATCTTAAATAAACCCAATAATTATCTGATAAATTTGGTGCCAAACAAAAGCTCAAAGATAAGCATCCGGTTTGCTCAAATGATGTGTACAGATCATTGCTAATCCTATCAATCTCTTTATCGGATTACTGATCTGATTATAAATGTAGGGCCTGCGTCGCTTTGCTTGCCGGAATGTAACTGTGTCAATAATAACGAGCAAATACCCAAACGAAGTAATACAAAGAAACATACGAGCCGTGAAACGCCGATGGCAGAACGGGAACTATGAAAGAACAGTAAGGATGGAGAAAGGCTCACAAAAGTGTATATGCTTGCCTTCCTGCGAACGAACTCAAAAATTACGGCTAATACTAAGAAAATGTAGTATTCAAGTGACCACGAAGAAGAAAACAACACTCTTCATAAGTCTACGCATGCAACATGAGAGGGTGGACAAATTGGATTGTTCAGAAGTTTACTGGACAACATGCGGTGGCTGCGAACGGAAATATATTGGCGAAACAGGGGGAATAATCAGCATACAAATCAAGGAACATCAAAGGCTTTGTAGGCAAATGGATACCGAAGGATAAAAAATACCGTAACACGTCGCATAGACTAGATACAAGATCATTTAGAAGGCAACAGAAAACAGGGCCTCATACGATGAAAACACAAGGAAAAGGAAGATCAGAGGTCATTGATATTCTTGCGAGAAGAAATTTAATGAAAGGAAGATGGGAAGAAGGCCGAGTTATAGACTACTTTGCCTACTGCTTAAGCAAACAAGGATACAGCAAGATATGAAGACCAAGATGTTGCGGCCTCTGGTATGGTCGCAGTCTCCTTTCGATTTACATAAGTGGGTTGACCTGGTTGTCGCAACTTGGTCTTGTTGTCAGGGCGACTTCGTAGAAAGCACCTAGTCCGAAGTCGTCTGCCAGTGTGGTTATCATAATTCTCAGCATCAGACAGTGGACTTGGTACATTCTCAAACGTTTCGCCGGCATCCAAATCGGCATCATCAGTGAGTGCTGCACTTCTCCGAAGCAAGATACGAACTCGTCAAAGCGGCAAGTGAAGCCAGTCTCCCGACCAACGTTCTGTCGAAGACGATTACACTATCACTCCTCTTTTAGTTCTGGCCTCTTTATTTACCCTCTAATTCCACTGCCGCCCTATCACAATTTCTCACTTGGTACATTCCACTCGTCAAAATGTGTGCCCTTTTGTGGCAAATCTAATGTCGCCTAATTACACTTGCTATTAACCCCGAACCTCTCTTTTTCGATCAGCTGATCCGACTCGGGCCTCGAATCAGGATCGCCTCATTGTCTCGTAGATCCATTCTTTCTCTTTCTGGTTGACCGATTTTACTCGGTTCCAGTCCCAGTGTGCATTTCACTCAAGGCGCATTTCTCAAGGCCCCAGAAGCACTTACACTGCTGCTTCACTGAGCAGAGCGTCCAAGCTCTGATTGTCATGCTTGCAGATATCAGGCCTTCCCTTCACGGGTCTTCTACTTGATTAAACCCATGTTATCTGAACAAACTGTGGACGCCTATCTCTAGTCGCATGCGGCATCTCAAGTGGATTTCTAGTGCATTTTGGGCATAACGCCGAATTTCCGAGACGGTTTGTTAATCCATCTGCCCAGCTCCCTGATTGCCAGGCCCCCAAAGTTGTACTGGTTTATTCGAAATGGACATCACTCATTGACGTCTTCGCTTTATTGCCGGAAACCCCTTCCTCTAACTTTCTTCTTCGCGATCCCTTTTCCTCCTCTTATCGGTAGATCCTTAATCCAGCCGTCTCCTTTTTGCTGTTCTTGCTTTATTCTTGTTGTCCCCGAGTTTGCTTAGGCAATACGCAAATTTATCGCTAACTCTACCTTCCTCCAGTCTCCTGTTCATTAGATTTGTATCCCCATGGATGTTAATGGCCCCCCTAATCTTCCGCTTCCTTGTGTTCCCGTTAAATGTAAAATAGGTTGTCCTTATTGTCCAGTTGATTAGTCTTGTTAACGACTCCCTACCGATTTGTTGTGTATCCAGGATATCCTCCTCTTGATCCAGATTTCAAGCAGGGCCGTTAGCGCATTTTCTCCAGAGATATTTGTACACATGGATTCCACATCGAAACTTACCAATTAGTCCGTTTCTTCAAGTGCCATGTTTTTTATTTTTTGAGAAAACTTATATGAATGTTTTACCATGTTAGAAAGCCTCTCATTTAATTTCTTGAGTTTCAAGCATATAAACTTTGCTAAATTGTGTGTTGCTCCATACTTGTTGCTGACTATCAGCCTAAGTCGCTCGCCTTCTCTGTGCATCTTCGGTCATCCGTATGCTGTTGGTGGTCGTGCATCCTTTCTTTTGAATGAATTTCTTGTCCATGCGCCAATTTCCCCATGCCTATGCATAACTTTCAGCATGACACTTAAGATTCCATTGATCTTCATAATTGGGTCCTTGTTTAGTATACGATATGTGGTCCTGTCTCATATAATTTGTTCCATCTTCTCAGTATATTGTTTTTTGTCCATTATCACTGTAGCTCCTCCTTTGTCTGCCTGAAGGACTAATTGTTCTTCCCCTTCCAGGGTTTTGCGTATCACGGCAAATCTGTTCCTGTGTGTAGGCTCCTGATGTGTCAAGGTCTTTAGAATTAATTCCATTTCCATTTCCCGTTTTGTCTCCTCAGGGAACTTGTCGGAAATATTGATAACCTCCACCAGGATGTCTCCTAGAAGGCTTCTGTGATGTTAAATTGAAAAATTGAGTCATTTTTCCAGGAACGCGGTTGTTTCGGGATTGAGACGAATTGATGTTAAGTTCAATACTTTCTTTCTATCCTCGTGCTGATCAGTAGGTGTTGTCACCTCGAACGCCACTTCACCTGGGCGTACTGGCTTTAATTTAGGTTGTCTTATAATCCCAAACTTACGCAATTTATAATTATGCCGTTTTGTTATTAACACCTGAGAATGTACCAAGTCCACTGTCTGTTGCTGGGACTTATGACAACTACTATGGCAGACGACTTCGGGCTAGGTGCGCTCTACTATGTCCCCTGACAACAAGACCAAGTTGCGACAACAAGGTCAACCCAATTATTAGGATACAGCAAGACTAACAGAAAGGAGAAGCCCGGATCAAGGACCTATCGTTAACCAAAGGAAAAGAAATCGTGAGGAGGAAGAGAGTGGGGAAATTTCGGAAATCGAGCAAAGACATTCTCAGTGAGTGAATTCTGCTCTAAGAATACAATACAACTTTAGGGGCCTGGCAATCACGTAACTAGGCAGACGAGTAAGCACGACCGTCACAGAAATGTGGCATTATGGCCAAAATTGACTATAAATCCACTCTAAATGCCTATGAATGAGTGAGAATTCCTAACTGGAGACTGAAAATTCTCAAAGCTTTGCACTAATTATTCAAAAAAAAACTTGGTACTATATGCTCCTTTTCATTTTATCACAACATTGCCTCAATCATCTTCATCAAAGTTGTCTATTATGCAGGAGTGATGTTAAGAGCAAAGCTGGCATTAAGTGAAAACGGCGTGGCTTTTCTATTAATACAAGGATTTATATTGGAATACCTTTCATTTTATTTGAAGAGGCAAGTGGAAGGGATTCGTGACGAACGAAAGTTCAGTAAGGATTCATCGGGGTCGCAGGGGGGTGCACTGAGGATCTATTCGCACAAATCTACAGTCACAGCTCCAAGGCAATCCTCCACAGCTTCCGGTGAGACCAACTCACGAATCCCTTCCACTCGCCTCTTCAAATGAAATGAAAGGTACTCCAACATCAATCTATTAAGGGAATCTTCGAAACCCAGTTTTTCCACATAAGGATTTATGTCTATAGTAGATGGCTATTAAAAATAGCATTAAAAAATTCGAAATTGCTGAGATACCGAATAAATTACGATAAATTCTAGTTGAGTGGAGGTTTATACAGCTTCCGTGATAGCCTAGCCGACCTATTTTGACTAAACAGGCCTGATATAGATTATGAGGAAAATGAAGAAGTTACTAATACTATATAATGATAAACAAATGACATTTATCCTGGAAAGGGCTACCAACCGGCAAGACGGAAACAGTGAGCCAAGAAAAGACAGAACCTTAAAAGTTGCGCCTCTCTCTAAATGCCCTTTTGTGATTTTTATCAGATGGTATAATTTAACTCGTATTTGAAGTTAGAAGCCAGTGAGAAAGTCATTTATGGATTGCAACAACCGGAATATAAAGACCATTAAATACATACCATTCTCAGAGCCATATTAATCACTTTTGTTCTCTTAAACATGCGAAAATCAACCTCCTAAGTGAACTTGATAA